CCCACTGGATCCTCAAGACTCCTCCATCGCGAGCGGCCGTGGGCGGGGATGGGCGGCCGTGGGCGGGGATGGGCGGCCGTGGGCGGGGTTGGAAGGAAGGAGAGAGGGAAACCCGAGACCACCAGCTTCTGGGTCCTTATCCGGCCTACTTCTTGGTTCCTATATCCGTTGCATCCGCGTGAGGAGAGAGGAGGAAAAGGAGGAGGAGGAGGAGGAGGAGGAGGAGGAGGAGGAGGAGGAGGAGGAGGAGGAGGAGGAGGAGGAGGAGGAGGAGGAGGAGGAAGAGGAAGGGGGAAGAATGAGGAGTAGAAGGAGAAGGAGAAGGAGAGAAGAGAAAGAGAGAAAAAATGAGGAGGAGGAGGAGAAGCAGAAGGAAAAGAAAAAGAAAGATAAGAAAAAGTAGAAGAAGAAGGGTGAAAATCGGAGAAGGAGAAGAAGAAAAAAGAAATAGGAGAAGGAAGAGAACATCCTTGGCCTCACGCCCTTGGTCGGGGGGAGGGAGGGAGGGAGCAGCGGGCCCCTCCAGCCCTGTCTCAACGTTCCGCGGCGCCGGAGCGTCACCCTCACCAATCCTCCTTCCCTGGGCTTCCTCTTGTCTACTTGGGATCTACTGCTTTCGTTTTTTTAGGCAAGGAAGGCAGACCGCTTGCTTTGATTCGGGGACTGCAGTTGCTTTGGGGGGGGACTACAGGAGGTTGCTGGCAGTCAAGGAGGCGAGCTAATCCTAGCGGAAACATGCTGGACGCGTCCGAGCAGGCAAAGTGGGGCGGGTGCTTGATTGCTTGCGTTGGCTCACACGCAGGCACAGACACACGCGTGGACATACGTACGGAGGCGCATATACAGGTGTTGGTAAATGGTTGTGTATACTTTCATGTGTACATGTATACATAACGTTCTCTCTCTTCTCGCTCTCTCTTTTTTTCTTCTTCTTTTTTTCTCTCTATCTTGTCGTTTCTCTCTCTGTCTCCTCCTCTCTCTCTCTCTCTCTCTCTCTCTCTCTCTCTCTCTCTCTCTCTCTCTCTCTCTCTCTCTCTCTCTCTCTCTCTCTTTCTTTCTTTCTTTCTCTCTTTCTCTAGCATGCACACACGTATACATACTGACATGTGACATTTTTATTTTTAGTCTAAATTCCAGCCCATCTCTCTCTCTCTCTCTCTCTCTCTCTCTCTCTCTCTCTCTCTCTCTCTCTCTCTCTCTCTCTCTCTCTCTCTCTCTCTCTCACTCACTCTTACTCTCAGACTCTCTCTTTCTCTCTAAACCACACAAACAAATCACACCATTTATGTTTGTGCGTGTGTGTGTATATGCCCGCGTGTGTCTCTGTGTATGTCTCCATAGACGCGTATGTGTGTGTTTTGGATTTGGACGTGAACCAAACCTTTCAGCTTTGCCTACTCGTCTGCGTCGGCGCTAAATGAACAATTTAGCCTCTTTATTTAACTGACCGTGATTCGTAATTTCGTTATTGCACGGGACGGAAGTATGGTGTGTGAAAAAAAAAAAATGCAATGAAAACGAGTGCATTTTTTCAAGCAATGGTAAATGATTCTTGAGCACCTTAATAATTAATCCGTGGATGTGAAACAAGGAAGTTTACGAATCAACTATGCTATTTTTTTTTAGTGCTAAGGCGATCCGTAGAAGCGAATGTAGGCCTAAATGTACTATAACAATACGCGCATAGCATTTCTTAACTCGACAACCCTCAGTTTTATAAGTAGGAGAAGCAGCGCTGTTGAATGCAGCAGTGGAAATCCAATTTGATTTTTTTTAATCATTTTTTTTGAGTTTTGAGTTTTTTTTTAAGGTTCTCCTGTCTGGATTCAAGTTAAGGTACATTGATTGATCGTAAGGTTGTTGATTGTAAATTGAATTGAATTGAATGATCATTGGACCATTCTGAACTAAGGAAAAAAAGAGAGAGGTACTGACAGCATAATTCTAAGATTAAGATGTACGTAACTTATCTGAGAGCAGTGTTCTGCAAGATATGAACATGCAAAGAAATTTCATTAGATTCAGCATATAATGATGCAATTCTATTCATAATCGATCTTCAGCCACAGAACCATAACAATTTTACTCTTACAAAATACAAAACAAAAATGTATAAAAAAAACAAACAAACAAACTTGAACAACAGGCACCACATGAAGTGCCTTTAACAAGATGGGAATTTTAAATCTGGAGAGGACACTATCCAAAAAATAACAAACAAATCACAATATCCATTCAAATAATTTGCAAAAAAATATAAAATCTTTCTCTTAAAAAAAAAACAGCAACAACAGAATTTTTCTCTTTGTTATTTTTGAAAAAAAAAACTGAACTCATGACTAGCCCAGCTGCTTCGGATCTACATCAGCAGCGGTTTTAATGTTTTTTGTTCACTTTTTTTTAGATATTTATTATTATTATTATTTTTTTTAGGGAAGTCATACGCACGATTCATAGGCAGCGGCAGGGTAGCTGTTAAGAAGAAGTTTGGGTGTACACTCGCTGTCGTATCTGTTGGGAAACACGTGAGAGACTGTTGTAACTTCTGCAGCTGGTGAACCGCCCTAACCATGTTCTTTTTGCGCATCTCAAAGTTTTTTTTTAAGATTTTTTGGGGGGGATTTTTTTATTTTTTTATTTTTTTTTTTGAGGGGGGGATTTTTTTTTTTTTTTGAGTATATATGCTCTTAAGGAGTTTTGAAGATTGTTTGGTTTCTTTTGGAAGGGAGTGGGGGGATATATGATTGTTCTTAAGTAGTTTTGAAGTTATTGTTATTGTTATTTTTTTGGGGGGTGAATAAATACTGTTGAGTATTCCTTTTTTTTTCTAAACGATATTTTGATTTCGAGTGACTGAAAGCAAAGAGGACAATTTGATTTGGGCGAGAGACAGATTTTTGCTGTGGGGGCATTTATGAATTGTAATTTTTAATCCTTTTGTTTTAAATTGTGAGAAGTCGTGCTCTTCTAAAAGACTTTTTTTTTGTTTTAAACTTTACAAGAGGTTGTTAACAAGAATGCAGATGGCAGGCCGTGAGCTTTTAATCAATCCGACATGATTAACTCTACAACTAACAAGGTTGGGGAAGAGACCTTGCATAAGAGAGGAAGGAGGAAAGGGGGGGTAGAATATACGGTATAAAACACACACGGGAAACATACAGTACAAACACACCACCACCCAAACAACGGTTAGACTGGGCAGGGGGCACGGGCAGTCCAGACCCCAGAAAAGAAGGCCAGTTGAGGAGATTTCCAACTTCTGAAACATGAGGTGTTGCCTGTGACGTGAGGACGTGATCTCCAGACTTCTATGAGACAAGACACGTCGAATAGATCTACGAGTTTAGCGGTAAAAAAGGGAATAAAGAAACACACACTTGCTAAACTAGAAGCCAAGGTGAGGTCCTCTCCACAATGGATCTCTTTTTATGGCACTTGTCCCTTTACGTCCTGCTGGGCACTGGTCTCCTCAGTGCCAGGTCACCCTCCCATCTAACCGCTGCTCAATAAACAACCAAAAGAAATAATAGAAACCAAAGTAGATAAGGTCTACAGCGAGCCATCAATATACCCTTAGATATGATACTGTCTTCTAGTCATGAGTATAACCAAAGCGACTGCGTAATTTTTTCAGGTGGTCGGAGAAGCCTAGTCGAATGCCTCGCTACGGTTGAATCAGAGGCGTAGAGAGACCAGGATCGGAGCGTCTGATGGAGGTCGAGATGGTAAAAAAAATATATATATATTTCACGAGAAGTCACGAAGAGAAAAAAAAATGAGCAAAAAAGACAAACAAACAAACATGACACTACAATTTAACATACAACACGTCTAAGAAAACTGAAAAGGAAGGAATAAAAACAAGGAGAGAGACAGAAACCATGATAAAATCAAAGTCCAGTGATCAGAACAAAGATGAATCGTGCGGGATTTCGAAAGGTTTGATAGGTTATATCACACGTCAGGAATAAGTAACTGACAGTCTACTAAGGACTTCACTCTTGCTGCTGCTCAGAGACGCAAGCCCTCTAGTGGCTCTGTGCTTTATTGAACCTTTAATACTAAACAAAGAAGACTGATCAGTGGTAAAAAAAAACTATTCTCTTTTAATATTCTGTGTTGTGTAGAAATTTCACCTGCCTCTAGTTACAGTCATTGAGTAATATTCTCGTACCATTTACCTGTAATCAGAGCATGGAGAGCAAAGCATTGCACATTAAGCCTCTGCTAGGCACACAGGGGCGTCTTGCTGCACCAAGCAATAGCTGCACTAACCTACTGTCACTTCGCCGCTCAGAATCGGTCTCGTATAGTTTAGCGGGGTCGTGAGCAAGTACAGAAGTCGTCTGGCTGAATCTGCGGTGCCAAGCTTAACGTGCTGGCGGCAGGTACCTGAATGGTCTTGTGTTCACAGTCTCTGATGGAGGAGGAGGAGGAGGAGGAGGAGGAGAGGAGGAGGAGGAGGAGGAGGAGGAGGAGGAGGAGGAGGAAGAGGAGGAGGAGGAGGAGGAGGAAGGGGAAGAGGAGGAGCTGGGTGGTATAAAAGCATGAATGAAGAGGCTGTCGTTGAAGTAGTTTGTTGGTTGAGAATGGGAGGTCCTGGAAGCCGCTGGATAGATGACGAGGATGCAGCGATTGAGAGAAGGGAGGCGAGCGTACCTGAAGGAGGGGAGGTGGGGGGGGGGGCGAGCTTATCTGAAGGGGGGAGAGCAGGGGAGGGGGGCGAGCGTATCTGAAGAGGGGGGGAGGGGGCGAGCTTATCTGAAGGGGGAGAGCGGGGGGGGGGGGGCATAAATGAGCGGCATTATCTGCAAGTGGCATTGTGGGACGATTTCCTCCCGGTAGCAGGACAGCATGTCGAAGGATCTATTATTAGTGAAGATTCTGCATGATGTAGGGGAAGGGGAGGCTTTAAAAAATCTAAGTGTCTCGGGTGTTTATATGTACTGCACTTCTGGTCGTATATAGTGGAATGAGAAGGAATGTTTGATAGCATGTTATAAGCATTTGGTCATGTACGACTTGTAAATGGAGATGTCTTGTGGTGTTGGTCTGGCAGCGGGGGAGGAAGTGTGGAGAGATGCAGAAGGGGAGCGCTATTAGAGTAGAAAAAAGACTTTGATTAGCGAAGGGGCTTTGTAACAAGGAGGAGAAGAGCTCGAATGAGATGGAGTGTTAGCGATGTTGCAGCATAGGGTCAGGCGTGGGAGCGTGAGTGAAGCATCGCCACGGTCAGGCACCAAGTATAGCAGGAGGCGGAGTGCGGTCCCCAGGCGGCGCTACTGCCACAACGCGGTCGTTACCTGATCTTGCCGCGTATCCTGGGGTAGCCTGAGTAGCCTGGCGTGGCCATATCTTGGTGGTTCCACATGTAGCCCGGGTAGGCGCCAGGCGTGCCCGGCAGGTAGTGCTTCCCGTAGAAGCCGTAAGCCCCGGTGGGCGTCGGCGTGACCGTGGGGGGCCCCTGGGCGGGAAAGGGCCCGCAGGCGAAGATGGGCGGCCGCTGGCTGAGAAACGCCTCGGGGTCGCCGCCGTCCTGCTGCGCGCGCTCCAGCCCCTCGTAGAACTCCCACAGCCTCTCTGTGAGGATGGTGAGGATGGTGCCGCCGTGGTTCATCTCGATCAGCCGCAGCACCAGGCAGCCGTCCCAGCCCAGGTACTGGATGGCCATCTTGCGCGCGTTGTTGTACAGGTCCTCCTTGCCCACCCGCCGGGTCCGCCACAGGTAGTAGTGCACGAAGGCGATGCGCGAGCAGGTGAAGGTGCGCCACACCCAGATGAGGGCGCTGTAGATGGTCACCGGCAGCAGCAGCGCGAAGAAGAACCAGATGAACGAGAAGATCTTCTCGTTGAACAGGTTGATGGGCAGCACGCACTGGCACGTGTAGGTCCTGAGCGAGCCCTGCTGGGCCGCCAGCACCTGGCACAGCGTCTGCAGGGGGAAGCGCGGCGAGGTCCACCACTCCTTCTTGTTGATCAGCTTCTCCACCACCTCGACCCCGTGGAACAAGTACCCTTTGCCCAGGAACACCGTGAGCAAAAAATATTGCATCAAGATGTTGAACACGTACATGATTTTCACAATCATGTACAGAATGAATAAAGAAGAGGAAGGGTTCCCGCCGCAAGCCAGATTGCAATCAAACTTACAGACGGTTCCTGGACAGCACTTTGAAACGCCCATCAGCGTATTAAACTGGTCCAGGAACTCGGCGATAAGTGCGTCGCGGTCTGGGTGGCCGGGCGTGTACTGAGAGATGACCGACACCTTCTTTAGCAAACGTCCCACCTTGATGCCAGAATTTTTTGCCGTCGAGTTCCAGATGGCGAAGGGGATGTAGAAGAGGCCGGCCTCCACCAGCAGGATGATGGGCGCCCACTGGTAGTAGTTGACCTTGATGCGCTCGCCCCTGATGGAGGTGGAGCCGCCCTCCTCGTCAAACGTCACTGAATGCACTCGCGTCACCTGCTCCCGGTCCTCCACGTCCACCGGGATTATGTAATAGGTACTGGCTGTCCAACAGTACGAGTTCACATATCTCGCTTGCGGTTCCGTGAAATACGTGGGCGTGAAGCACTCGATCGGGTCGCCCGCGAACTGCTTCGTTACGAGTGGAAGCGACAGGCATATGAGGATGAGGATGGTATACTTTCGATTGAGTTTGTCTACCCCGTCGTCGATGGGAACGTTCCCGCCGATGAGATAGTTACTGAAGTGCAACAGAAACGACATTTTGGCGCCGCGCTCTCGACTCTGCGGTCACGTGGAAGAGAGAGAAAGAAAGGTGGATTTGCTGGCGTCTTTTCCCTGATCCGCCCTTTCGTCTCCAGCACAACGGACTGCGCTGGTTTTTCCGGAGAGCTTTCACGTCGTCAGCACTTCGGGGTTTGATCTTGCTCGAGGGCCTTTCCAAGCGGTATCTCGGGGACCTAATCCCCCCGAATCTATCCTAATCAGAACGAAACAAAGTGGAAGAAGAAGAAGAAGAGGAAGAAGGAGAAACTTTCATCTTCACTGCATTTCCATTCCGTTTCGCCAGTGTCATGTCATTCGAATGCCCCGACGGAAAAAAAAATTACGAAAACGAAATAGAAGAAGAATAATCAACGAATCTCAAAAAAGGGAAACAAGAAAGAAAGTGAAGGGGAGAAAAAACTAATAATAATTACAAAATCGAAGGAACTGAGGTACAGCTTCCACTCGTAACTTGCATCACTTCACTTGACGTCTTGGTTTAAAGCTTTGCAAATGGCGCCGCGCTCTTCACTTCAGCTTAGTACGTCTTATCCACACTGTCAACAGATCCTATCACAGTCTGGCTTCAGACACTGTGTCACTTTCCTCTTCCTCTCACTCTCTCTCCTCTCTTTCAGTCTCTCTTTTTCTTTTCCTCTTCTGTCACACTCCCTCTATTTATTTATCTTTTCGCTTTCTTCTCGTTTCTCTCTCGTCACTCTCTTATTTATATTCTTCCACCACACTTTATTTTTTCTTTTTGTTTTCTCACTTCACGCCCTACGTATAACCACTCAAAAACAAGGGAAGGATTGGCTTCGTCTCACGCACCTCAATTCCCCGATTTTCTCTTATTTTCTCTCTCACTTATTCACGCACTTATTTCGGAAATGAGGCGTGGAGACCCAACACCGAATAGGGGAAAAGATAAAACAAGATAAAGAGAGGGTTAAGTGCAACGGAGAGAGAGCTGGCAGTGACGGACACGAGGCCAAGGGATGCGCTGTGCCTTCGTCTCCCTGTCTCGCGGGCTGCTGTCACCTGCGGGAATATGAGAGACCAATTTTAGAATCTTGGAGATGAAGGAAAATGTAATGAAGGTAATAAGGATAATGGGGATAATGAGGGTGATGAGGGTATGTATATGTGTGTGTGGTAATGAGAATATGAGGCAAGCGAATGCACAGGATGTCTAAGCAATTGATGGCAGGCGGTTTTTTTGTGTTTTTTGATACGTTATGATGATTGTGATTTTCGAGAGGAGGGAGGTGGGAACAGGATGCAATGATGCAAGGCGTTGCATGCGGAATCCCCAGAGTGAATGTAATACATACCGAAGAAAAAAAACAAAACACAAACATAAACATCCAGGTCGTCGTCATAACATGAATGATAATATCCCCCTCTTGTTCTGCCACAGAAGACAATCCCGCTAACCCGGATGCAACAGCGAGGTGAGAATGGCTCATGCTATCTCGCCCGATGCAATCACTTTACGAAGGCGCCCGCGAATGGCTCACAATGGAGTCCTATGATGGAAACCTGGGGAGCCTGTTGATAAAGCTCACTTACCCCCAATGAATGTCGGGACTAAACGGAACGCGGTTGAGACTCGCTTCCCGAACCGCCAACCGAGCGAACCTGCAACAAAACGCCATGTTGGAACCAGGCAGACAGTCAGACATTCAGCCTCGTTGCCTCTTGATATAAATTGCAGCCAGGGGGGGGAGGGGCGTGAGGGAGGGAGGGAGGGAGGGAGAGGATCCAGAGAACCCCAAAGCTCTCTTTCTGGGCCTCACAAACACGTCATTAAGGAGCCCAATGGAGCCTCGCCTCATTATGACAGAATGGAATAAATGGAAGACACACGAAGGGCTGCTCCTGAGAGTGTAAGAATGCCGTGATGACAGTGGGTGATAGTTTCCCGTTCTGCGTCCTCGTCTGAAATAGTTGCAGCTGTTTTTACGAGAGAGAGAGGGAGCGAGAGAGAGAGAGAGAGAAAGAGAGAGAGAGAGAGAGAGAGAGAGAGAGAGAGAGAGAGAGAGAGAGAGAGAGAGAGAGAGAGAGAGAGAGAGAGAGAGATAGAGATAGAGAGAGAGAGAGAGAGAGAAAGAAAGACAGAAAGAGAAAGAAAGTGAGAGAGAAAGAGAAAGACAAAAAGGAAAAAGAAGATAAAAAAAAAGGAGAGAGAAAGAGCAAGAGACAGAGAAAGAGAAAGAGCAAGAGAGAGAAAAAAAAAGAGAAAAAGAAAAAGAAAAAGAAAAAAAGAAAAAGAAAAAGAAAAAGAAAGAGAGATAAAATCTGAAACAGTAACTTAATATTCCCCCCCCCCCCACACACACACACTGTTTTACGTTTTCGTCTTCGTCATCGATAGTTCTTGTCCCCATACTTCGAGGGACGATCTCAGTGATGCAAATAACAACAAAGACGATGATTAATGATACCATCACTACGACAAAATGACGAAACAATATGAAGACAAATGCAAGAGCGATTAGAGAGTGCTAACGAGCCCCATCATTTATTCAGTCAATGAGACAAGTTTGAAAAAAGACCAACAACTGAATGAAGCTATTATAGATAAGCACGTCATTATTAGGCACCTGGATTGATGGACGTAATTAACTCTAGGAAAAGGAAGCACTGTTCTGTGTATTGATTAGCTTAGAAAACACTTTGGCAGAGATAAGGTATGAGTGTGCATGATTGTTTTCATAGTGCAAAAAGTGTGTTTCTTGCATTGTGAAGGTATTTATTCTTATTTTTTCTAGAAGGTTTGCAATACCATATACAAAAAGATTTTACATGGTGTTAGAATGCACTGTCGCATCATTTAAAAAAATATATTATTATTGATACTTATATATACCGTAGAATAACTCACCAACGCACACACACACACACACACAAAAAAAAAAAAAATCAACACTTAAATACACGTCTATTTACCCAATAGACTGACTCGATTTTGAACCCTTGATAAAACGAATCCCGTATCTGCCTTTAACCCCGTAATAACTTGTCCTTCTGCTATGTATGGAAAGGACTGGAGAGGCCACACAGAAGCAATAATTGATCTTGCAATCTCACGAACTTATGACTGGATATAACTAAAAAAAAATGGACGCCCCAAAATACTATAAGATTTTTTTTCTTTCGTCATTGAAGGTTTTATTAAGAGATTTGTGTCGGTATTAGATTTGGTCATCACAGGGCAATGGTGATTTAATGCGCCAGAAATATGTAACCCATTATGTTCTCGGGTGGGTGGGCGTGTGGGCGAGTGGACAGGTAGGTGGGTGTTTGTGGGATAAGACCCTTTAAAGTTTGGCAAAATGTCCCTTTAAAATCCTTGCTATTATTTTCGTAGGTGGGTGGGTTGTTGATATGTACACTTAAAATGTTGTAATTTTAATTCTTGGGTGGGCTGGTGGGTGGGTGGGTTGCGATGATGCACCCTTAAAAACTGTTTGGGTGGGTTGCTAAGATGTCCCCTTAAAATCTTGTCATGATTCTCAAATTGGAAACTGAGGTGGGACACTTTGATTTAAAGAACCTCGCACTGCCTGTGCATAGATGCCCTTTTCTAGACCTCTATTCATTATGATTGTACGAAATAAAGCTTGCTATATATATGTACATACATATATATATATATATATATATATATATATATATATATATATATATATATATATTTATATATATATATACATACATATATATATATATATATATATATATATATATATATATATATATATATATTTATATATATATATACATAAATATATATATATATATATATATATATATATATATATATATATATATATATATACATACACATACACACATACATATATACATATACAAAGGCACACACATATATGTATATATATGTATATATATATATATATATATATATATATATATATATATATATATATATATATATATATATATATATGAGTGTGTATGTGTGTGTGTTTATAGTGTGTAACTATATATATATATATATATATATATATATATATATATATATATATATATATATATATATATATATATATATATCTACACACACACATACTTACACACCCGCACCCATGCATAAGCATGTGTGCGTGTACTTGTTCTGAGGCACGTGTCCGGCCGCCTGAGCGAAGGACTGCTGATCTTAGCAACATGTAAACAGAACTTTCGCCACTCACTTTACCTTTTCTTTATCCTCGACGCGCATTGCTTTCTTGATGTCGGTAAATCTCCATTTTGGAATATTTTTTTTCTGTTATGACTATCAAGACGTATGTACAAAGATCCAGTAAGATTTGTGCATTTATTGTTATCCGGAGAGACGATTGGATCACTTCGATTTTAAAAAAGAGAAATCTAATCCTAATATTATAAACGCGATTCGAGAATGGAATTAAAAAAAACAAGTTGAAATCTAAAACGAAACGAAACAAAAAACGAAAAAGGAAAAACCAGTTAAAAAAACGAGAACAAAGTATACGACTTGTTTCTTTTTTCGCACCGAACGCCCCAGGCTTCCGCTTCAAGGTGTACGAGTCTTAAGGTTTCCTCCGCCCAATAAGGTCCTTTGCGCCTCCGAGCACTTCACTGCCTCCACGAGCAACAACAGAGAAGCCTGTGTGTTGCTTCGTCGCGTCTCGACAACAAACTAAACTACCCAAAAACCACGCGCGCCGAAGCCGAAGTCGACGCCACTGCCGCCGCCGACGCCGCGTCCCCCCCGATGCGTCCGAAAGCGTGTCTGAGGAGGCGAGCGCGGGTTCGTATCTCAGGCTTCGGAGGCGACTGTGCCTTCGGCAAGGGACAATGGCCGGCTGACCTTTCCCCTCTTCCCCCCTCCCCCCCCTCCCCTGCCGCCTCTTCTAAGCTGTACTCGCGCCGTCCGCACGTGACCTCCTCGCATTGTTGTCGTCCGAACGCTATTTTTAACGCGGGGATAAAGGAAAGGAAGGGAAGTG